CAGATACCTACTTTTGTATGTCCTTTTAGTTTCTATCCAAGAGTTTGGGTCATACAAAGCCCAAAGTGTACGGAAGTGGCCTCAGGGTGTTAGAAGTAAATGGGAAGTTTCACCAAAGGGGGTGCCAAGGTGTTGGATTTCTAGGACACTTCATCCACCTCTAAATTTTTCAAAACGTCACTGCCAGATTCAAGGCCATCACCTTCTGGAAAAGGGGAGGTCTCATATCCCCCACCCCTTTTCCAGGACAGGACACGCATGTGCATCTCCTCCTGGATTCCCGGGCCTTTACCTCGCTTGAACTCCTCCAGGACTGCGTCTAGCTTGGTGTCATTGAAGACGAAGTGGAGTGGGTGGTTGTAGAAGCGGGTAATGGTACTGAGCGGCGTGCAGTCCTCGGGGTCCACGAAGGCCAAGTCCTTGAGGTAGAGCATGTCCACGATGTTGGAGCGCTCTTCCTCGTACACCGGAATGCGCGTGTGGCCGCTCTGCATGATGCTGGCCAAGACGCTGAAGTCCAGAACTGCACTGGCATCCAGCATGAAGCAGTCTTCGAGCGGCGTGAGCACGTCCTCCACTGTCCGGTAGCGCAGCACTCCCTTGCTGAGGTCGCTGTAGGGGTCGCCGCCTCCGCGCGCTAGCTCCAGCACGCGCTCGCGCAGCCGTCCGGGCCGCGCAGCCAGCTCCAGCAGCTGCCCCACTGGCAGCGCCACGGGCAGGGTGAGCAGCACTGCCAGGCGACTGAGGCTCAGAGCGCGCGGTGCCAGCGCCAGCGCCCAGCGCCCGCTCACAGCGGCCGGAATCACTTCGCCTACCAGAAAAACCAGCCCTGCGCAGCCCAGCACGGCGGGCACCGCTCGCTGGCCGGCCGCTCGGTACAGCAGCACCGCCAGCGCCGCCTGCGCCAGGCTAGCCAGCAGCAGCAGCGCGCCCAGGGCGCAGCCCGCCCAGCGCCGCGCGGGTTCCAGGCGCCGCGCCGCCGCACGCTCCGCCTCCGAGCCGCTCTCGCGCAGCACCTGCACCTCGGCGGGCGCTAGCGCCAGCGCACTCAGCTGCAGGCCCCGCGCCAGCGCCGCCAGCGCCAGCAGCCCGGCCGCCCCCAGGCCCAGCGCCCAGGGCGGCGCCGCCTCCTCGGCTGCCCCGCCACCCGGCTCCACGCGCACTGCAAGCAGCGCCGAGTTTGGGGGCACGGCCTGGGCCCGCAGGCATAACAGCGCGCGCCACTGGCCCGCGGGAGCCGCCGTCTCCTCGGGCGCCGTGGCTGGTCCACCCTCGGGGCAGCCTGCCCCCTCGGGGGCCACCCAGGTCCAGGAGCTGTTGGCGAAGCCCGAACCCAGGAGGCGCAGGCGGAAGGTGGCCTCCGGCGCTGCCCGCACAGCCCCTCCGTGCACCCACCCGGGGCCCGCCTCTCCGTCCTCCTCCAGGCAGAAGCCCAGCACTCGCGGGCCCGGCGCCGTCTCCCCAGCGGCGTTGCCCAGGCAGAGCGCGGCGAGTACCCAACCTAGCCGACCCGCAGCCGCCGCCATCGCCTGCAGCCCCCTCTTGGCCTCTCGCGCAGCCTACCCCGCTCGCCCCGCGCCCCCGCCTCCCCGGCCAATCGTAGCCGGCCTTCGCGCCGCCTCAGCCAATGGGCGGCGAGCGAGGGCGGGCCCCGGGGGTCGGACTAGGCTGTGCCGGGGAGTAAACAAGCCGCGCGGGGCGGGCCGGGGGCGTGGGGTGCTCCGGGGGCGTGGGGTGCTCGGCCCTGCCGCTAGCCGCTGCACCGAGGGCTAGCGGCCGCCAGCGCCGGAGGACGCGGGGTATTGGGCAGAGCTCCGGACTCCAGCGCCCGAAGGCCCGACAGCGCTCTGGGAAGCTCCCAGGGCCTCACACGAACCCCGGGCCCTGACGCTCTTGAAGTTGCACACGGAGATTCAAGTGCATGGAAAGTGGGATGTTTTCTTAATAAAAGGCCCAGAAACCCTTCAGGGCCAAGGGAGCTGAATAAGAACCAGAGCCTGGCGTCGGGAAGCTAAGGTTTCTTGAAAATGTTTATGGATCGCGCGGGGCTGTGGCTTCAGGTCTCAGAACATCAAGGCACAGCCACTTCCTTCAGGGAACTCGGTCCCACCAGGGAAACACAAAGATACAACCTCATTGGAGCCTGACACATCCGCTGCATGTAATTAATGTCTTACAAGAGAAAAGTGAAGGGAGACAGCGTGCATGCCGGGTTCCAAGGCGACCTGCCCAACACCCCGGTCACCATCCCAGCCACAGGAGGCGGAAGCTGCCGGCAATTTAAGGATCTGCTGACTCCATTCCCACAATTCATCCTTGGGCGATTCCCCAAGGCCAACAAGAGCTACTCAAGAGGGTGCCTGCTGCTGGTATATTAGAAGACAGTATGGTGGACAGTGTGGCTCGTTTTAAATGATCTGTATGTGACCAGAAGGAAACAGACCAACTGCTAACAAGTCTTCTCTATAAGCACCCAGATTAAGTGGTTTTTGTATTTTTGTCTAATTTTTATGTTCTTCAGGCTTTCTAGCACAAGTAGACAGTTGATAAAGCTCAAACATGTCATTTTAAATGGTCTTTAAAGGAGTCTATAGAAACAATTTGCTGTCTCCTGAGAATATCATTCTAAAAAGTATATGTATTATGGCCATAAGTGAACCATGTTGTGTGCAAAACCAGGTAAGCCCACAGTGAATGACGAACCGGAAAATATCTGTGAAAAACTCTTTGTCTCTTCTATATTGTAAACTGGGCCAATTGCTTCTCTGTTCTCCATTTTTATTATCCAGATGGTGCTGTGTCCTTCCACTGGCTGCTTCGTTCTTGAAGAAGATTACAGAGCAAGCCACTAGCAGAAGCAATAATGACATTAGTGCACCTTTCCACTGGATTGTCATGTCTCTTTTGAGGAAGAAAAAGTACAAGCTTTATGCTGGATTCATCCCCCTCACTTCTGTCTTCAAGTCAAGATAAAATGCTGACAATGAGCTAGAACAGATGATGTACTCGAAATGGCTGAGAAGTCATTAACTAGCAAAAACCAGTTCAAAGGACAGGAAGAAATAACTTGTTATGGATTGAGAGACAGGAGACAGGACTTTCACTTTCCACAAGTAACTTTCTTCCCTGGCCTCAGGCTCTCTTGAAAAAACAACCTATAACTAATTCTTGGGGAAGGGGGGGGGTGCCTTGGGGTGGAAGAACAATTTGCTCAAACTTGGAAAACACAAATGGTCATTTAAACTGTCAATATCCAAAGATTCAAAGAACCCAGGATGGGGCAAAAAAGCAGCTCAGAGGGGCTTCTTCCTTTTTCAATGCCATTTGCCCAAACTCTAGTCAGTTACAGCTCTATTGGAGACACTGGACCTCCTTGGCCTTCCCGGGGCCATTTTTCTTCCTGGTCATTTGGATCAAGACATTTCCACTTTGTTTAATAAATTTGTAGCTATTGGATGTGACCACGGGCTAACTCCTGTTCATCTCTCAAGTCTTGGCTCCAATGCCCTTTCCTCCAAGAGCTCCATCTTGATAAGTCAGGTCGAGGTCATGGGAGCTATGTGCTCCCCTCACAGAATCCAGTACTTGGCTTAATTCTCATTCATTCACCTGACAGGTGTTTCCGGCACTGATGTGTGCAGTGCACTGGGGATGGTTCCAGTGCTGGAGTGTTGTGGGAATGAGATCAAGTCCCTGCCTTCCTGGGCTGAGAGTACTGGGACAACAGAAAAGAAATACCTGTATTTTATTATTAATAAGTGCTATGGAGAAAAGACAAGACAAGGAGACAGAGGGGTCGAGGGTGATGCTGATTGAAATGGAACAATCAGGGAAGGCTTCTCTAAGAAGGTAATATTTGAACCAGGAATAAATAATATGAGTGAGCCTCACAAAGACTTGGGAGAGGGGCTGGAGGAGTAGCTCAGTGCTAGTGCACATGCTCAGCATATGTAAGGCCTTGGGTTCTACACCCAGCACCAAAAAAAAAAGTTCTTGGGAGACGTGTCGTAGGAGGAGATAGGCCCTCTTCCTCACTCAACTCCCTGAGGGGTTGGTTGGTAGCAGCTGGCATGCAGCAGAAGCTAGCACATGAGAACTGGGCGGGGCGATGTAGGGGGACGACTAATGTCATTCCCTCTTGCCCAACCACACACTCACTGTGTGTGTTACTCCTTTTATCTAGAGTATCCACTTCCCTTTGCTGCTACCCAAGTGCCTGCCTGCCTTCAGATACCTCCGGAATTGGTCTGCTGTCAAGCCATGCCTGCTCCAGCCCCTGGCCTTGGACTCTTGTGTGCCACAAGATTCCACAGTTGATGTCGGGCACGGTGGCACATGCCACTAATTCTAGCGGCTCAGGAGGCTGAGGCAAGAGGATAGCAAGTTCAAAACCAGCCTCAGTGACTCGGGGAGACTCTGTCTCTAAGTAAAAATATAAAAAAAGGCTGGGGATGTGGCCCAGTGGTTAAGCACCCTTGGGTTCAATCCTAATCCCTGGTACCAAAAAAAAAAAGATTCCACAGCTGCCATTCTGGGAGTGGCCCTTCAGGGGACCCCAGCGCTCCAACTCTGAAACCATGTGAGCCCACCAGGGTGGACAGACAGCAACTGTGTTATGAAATCATACAGTCACATTCTTGGATCAGGCTTGGTAATCTCTCAGCCCCCAGAAAGGGAAGGACAGCACACCCACTCCAACACGCCCTCCAGGACTTGCAGGCAGGAGCCACAGGGCTTCCAGCTTGTAGGACTGTGCTGGTGGCAGCTGAGCACATTTGCTCTGAACGTCTGCTAGCAGCTGCCACTCTCCAGCACTTGTGACAACAGCCCTGATTCTGTGTGTTTGTAAGTTACAATTCTGCTTGCATTTCACTGCTCCACAGCCCCAGAGCACTTTATGTTCCATGCCTTGTCACAGTGGCAGTCAGGCACAGTCACTTCCCTCTCTGTCACAGATGCTGAACATAGAACTCAAATGCAAGCCACAGACTCACCAAGACTTACATATATTTCATTTTTTATTACCAATCAAAAATAAATTCCGTATATTGTTTAGCAAATATTATCATTGTTTTGTGACAAAAGACACAAGAGTCATAACAACAAAACTCCCCGAGAGTCAAACTCATAACAATGCCAAAATAAATCACAAAAATATACAAATTAAAATCTTACGCAAAATAAATAGGAGTCATCTGCTACGGTGGCTGTGACTTGCCTACCCATTTGGATGCCATTTGCCAGGGTCTCCCTGGCCCAGGAAGACAAGCGGAGCAGGCCAGGTCCAGGGTATGGCTCAGCCCAGGAACCAGAGGTTGGAATAGGAAGTGAGAAATTGCACTGGGAGGAGGAAGTCATTGGACTGGTGATATCTGGGAATAATTATGACCCTCTTCAGGAAGTGATTATCAATGGGAAAGGGAGAGGAGGAGGGGGACCACCTGTTGGTAGTGACTGTGTGTGCAAGAGGTAGCTGTGGAAGTGAGTGCACCTGCTCCTTCTGCTCTACACACACCCACGAGGTTTGGGCCAACGTGCTTTGCTCTGCCGGCACCCTGGCCTCTCAGGAACACAACTCTGCCAGCTCCTGTGGGGACTCAGAAGCAAGCTGCTCTCTTTTCCCTTATGGTCGAGAGCCCACAGGCATCGACAGCTCCCCAGGCTTCTAGGAGTTAATTCTGCGCCTGGGGAGGCCTTAGACTGGCCAGGGCAGGACACTCCCTAGTGCCAGGAGTTAGGATTCTCTAGGTGCCTGGAGAGCAGAGCACTGGGTGACAGGACTGCCCTGGCTGAGGAAAGGCACGAACACATGCCACGCAGGCGGAAGGTGGGCAGCTTCCCTCACCTGGATCTGGTGCCCCAGCTCCTGTGCTTCCTGACAGAAGGCAGCCCTTGGTCCCACAGCCTCCCCCATGGTGGGAGCCAGGAGCTCTGGAGCAGGCCCTGGGGTAGGACTTCCTGCAGGTGTGGGAGGCTCTCACGCAGTACCAGCGTCAGCGCGGGCCAGTCCGAGCCCTCACACCAGGGTCATGTGGATGAGAGGAAACGAGGCTACTCCTCTGCTCTCCCACAGACCTCTCCCTTGTGAACCCCACTGATGGGATCCCATAAGGGGGTGAAGAAGGTTAGGTGACCTCGGCCAGCCACAGGAAAGGGCATGAAGAACCGTCCTGGTGGCTTCAACATGCCCTCTTGTCCACAGCCCCCCAGAGGGACTAGGGCTTGGAGAGGAGGAGGAATCTAGAAGGGTGGCTTCCTGGGCCAGGTAGGCCCTGGCTCCTCTTGTAGGGTGGGGATGGGTGGGTGGTCATGGCTGCTACAGCACAGAAGCCTATGGCCAGATTCACCCCTGGATCCAAAAGGGGTACCTGACAAGTAATCTCTGGCATAGATGCCCTGCCCACCAAGGGGGGCCTTTGGCAAGGCAGAGGCAAGCCTGGGGAGCAGGGAGCAGCGTGACACCTATGGCCCGCCTGACACTGCTCACTCCGTACCAGGTGAAGGGGAGTTGGGGGGCCGGAGGAGAATCCTCAGCGAGCCCTGACTCACCGGGAGAGCCCATCCACGGAGTTCTGATAGGTTCCTGGGTCCAGCGGTGACAGAAGATGTGCTCTTCTCCGTGGCCAGGGCTATTGTGCCCCTGGTCACAGTTACCCAGACACAGTCGGCCCTGGGTGTGCACATGTTCAAGCAGCTGACCTCAGGCCTGGGTTCCTTGCTTCTGGAAGAAGCCAACTCCTTCTACAGGCACTGGTCCCCGCTCTGCAGGAAAGGGTGGGCTCGCCGAGGCAGGGACATAGGCTGGAAGGTCATGGCTGGGAGCAGATTATGGCTATTGCTTCCAGGGTGGGGATCCCTCCCCCTTTTAAAGTTTTGGTTTCTTTGTTTTGAAAAAACATTTTTTTTTTTTTAACATAAAGTTCTTTAACCCTGTCTTCCCTTCCCAAAATGATATTTTAAAAGAGGAGCAATGAGCCTAGTTTAGAAGTCCTCAGTAAGAAACAGCCTTTGCTCAGGTGGCTGATCCACCGCCCACCAGTCCAGGGCTGGCAGCGCCACCGCAGCCTGTTCAGAGGTCCCTGTCAGCAGCACCCTGGCTGCTCAGTCACACAGGCAATCCGCACCCCTGTGGCCTAACAGGCCCCCTCTCTCGGTGTGGCCCACTGGGGAGGCCCTGCGGGGCGGGCAGGGCCCCGGGCCCTGCTGTCAGATGGCGCTGTCCGGGGAGGCTCTGTGCAGCAAGGAGTTGCGCTCGTTGAGCAGCGTCGTGGTCTCATCCACCGCGGGCAGCTCGGGCTTCTCGGTGAAGTTCTCCGTGCAGGTGGTGCACCCGTCCAGCGGAAACTGTGGGCCGCTCTCCATGCGGGAGGCCATCAGCCCGTTCTGGTACTGCTGCCGTGTGATCTGTGGGCAGGAGGCGAGTGCGGTGGGCAAGGGCTGGGGCCCAGGCAGAAGAGAGGGCGCGGCCAGGCCGGCCTACGGGGCTCCCAGCAGGCACAGGGCAAGGTGAGGAGGAAGATGTCGGGTTTGGCGGGGGAGGAAAGAGGCCGCTGGTCCTGAGCAGGGACGAGGGCTGCAGCAGGGCGCTCACCTTAACGTACTGCAGGTCCATGAGTGCCCGGACACTGAAGTCCGAGACGTACTGGCCCAGGGTGCAGCTGCCAAGCTGGTTGCTGCCAGCCGCCAGGGTGGACGTGGTGGACGCATCTGTGCTGCGGTCCGGGTAACTGAGGGAAGCTGAGCGGCTGAGGGGCATGGGGTGCGATGGGGAGCGGTCTGTGGGGACAGCAGAGGCTGGCAGGTTAGGCTATGCCCTGAGCTCAGCCCAGGGGAGACAGGGACATGGTCCCTCTCCAAGAACAAGACAGTTCTTTTTTTCTTCCCTAGTTGTTGTTATTTTTTTTCATTTGTGTATTTATATACAGTTGCAGCGCTGAGGATAGAACCCAGTGCCTCACACATGCTAGGAAAGCGCTCTGCCCCTCAGCCCCAGCCCCAGCCCAGCAGGACAGTTCTTAGGGACAAACAAAAGCACACAGAAGCTCCAGCTGCATCAGCCTCATGGCTAACCAAGCTAGTGTCAGGCAGTAAGTGTTAAACAGTCCATCCAAGCAAACTGGTCAACAGGAAATGTGCGGCTACAGAACCCCTTGGTGAACCCCCCAAATTCATCAGTCCCAGGCAACACATAGTGATCACCCTCCAGTGACAGACAAGCAGCTACCTTTGTCTCAATACCAGCTTATGTTAAGTGACTTAAACTAGATACTTTTAAACAAAAAGAACATTTAGGGCTGGGGTGGTGGCTCAGTGGTAGAGCGCTCGCCCAGCACCTGTGAGGCACTGAGTTTGATCCTCAGCACCACATTAAAAACAAACAAACAACAACAACAACGAAAAAAAAAACAAAGAACATTTCTTAAGAAGAAGAGCATACAGTCCTCACTCTCTCAGTGGGAACCCCGCCCCATGATGCCTGTCACTGCTACAGAGTTGGAGGTGTGCTCAGCTCAGGACGGGGCCAGTCCACTGTCTGCCCCCACCCTAGCCAGCTGTCAGAGCCAGCTGTCAGGAGGAGGAGGGCGGCAGGTTCCTCACAGGAACCCCGAGGGTCCTGGTTAACTAGGATGGCGGGTGGCACAGCCCAGCCACCAGGCAGCACAGGCCTCTCCGCCCAGGAAAGGGTGGCAACTCCAGCCCAGCCCAACCCAGCCGAGGAAGGGGGAAAGGAGCTGCCCCTACATGGCACAGCTCACCATTAGCTCAGTTTTAAAAACACAGAGAACAAGGAAAGACTCAGAGAAGTCACCAGTGAATGCAACTTGTTTTATTTTTGTCTGTTTTATTTTATTTTTTTGGTACCAGGAATCAAATCCAGGGGCACTTAATCACTGAGCCACATCCCCACATCTCCAGCCCTGTTTTAAAATGTTCTTATTTTGAGACAGAGTCTCATTAAGTTGCTGAGGGCCTTGCAAAATTGCTGAGGCTGGCCTCAAAACTTGCAATCCTCTTGCCTCAGCCTCCAGAGTCACTAGGATTACAGGCAGGCACCTGGTGCTTGCAACTTGTTTTACACAAACAGGAAGTGGATCAAGGGGGTTTGCTTTAGTTAACTACAAAGTTACTAACTACTAAGTTAGCTATGCCAAGAAATAGCCAGCAGAGAGAACAAACACTGAACCCAGCAATTCAAGGACCCACACAGCTTTTACCAAATGAGATCAAATCAAGTACTCCTCTATTTTTCTGCCTAAGTAAAGCCAGATTTTCTCTAATAAATCTAGGAAAATACAGTCTGGCCATTCTGTGACTGGGTACGCCCACCGAGGAACAGGAAACAGGCTCACTAGAGGGTCACATGCAAGTAGCTAAGCAGTACCTCTGATTTACCTCCAGGAAAAAGTTAGAAATACCAGGAGTATTACTTAATATCTTACATTAATCATCTGAATGATGGAATGCCTTTTGAAACAGGAACAGAATTTATTTATTTAGGCTGGGGATGGAACCCAAGGCCTAGTGCATGCTAAGTGCAGGCTCAACCATGGAATTTAAAACCCGCGCAAATGATCTTTTACAAATAGAGGTCCTATAAGGACATATCAGAGTATTGTCTCTGAGAAATGAAATTATGGTACTTTTTAATTTTCTCAAAAACTTTTTTTCTGTTTTCCCAATAAACTGTTAATTTGGGGATCAAAAAAAAAACAATAAAAATGGCAAATATTAGGGTTCTTTGATCTGGTAATCCTGTTTCTGAAAGAATATCCTAAGAATATAATCTTAAACTCTGAAAAGTTTTTGCACAATTTTTAAAAATCATGGTATTATCTATAATGACTTCTCCAGCTAGGTATGGCACACACCTGTAATCCCAGCAGCTCGGGAGGCTGAGGCAGGAGAATCACGAGTTCAAAGTAAGACACTAAGCAACTCAGTGAGACCCTGCCTCTAAATACAAAATAGTGCTGGGGATATGAGTCAGTGGTTGGGTGCCACTGAGTTCAGTCCCCAAAACCCACCCCCCAAAGACTCCTTCAGCAAATACACTTAAAGCAGAGAATGAACGGGTGATGCTAGCCCTGCTCCATGACCATGTGGCTCTGACAAAGCACCTTCCAGAAAGGCACCCCTGCTCCCAGAGGCAGAAGCAACGCGGGGTCACACCCTGCATGCACCCGCACACTCGGGGAGCAACAAGTGAGGAGGGAGAGGGCTGGAGTCACACGGGGCAAGTGGCTTCTTCCAGGTCACCTTTGTATTTGCTATTTTTAGACAAACAAAGGGTCAAATCAGTGCATCGCGAGCTGAAGCACTGAAGAGAAAAGCCCATCTGTACTCCTGTCAGATGGGGACAGCTTACAGGTAATGGGGTTCAGGATGTCAGGGCCCAAGGAGCTCAAACATGCCCCTGACCATGGGTTCCAGCCCCGATAGAACCTTCAGGTGCCCCCAGCCCCCGGTGCACATGGGGCCCAGCAGCCTCGGCCTCACCATGTCAGGCCCCGCTGTTCCCAGGGGACGTGTCGGGTGGGACAGAGCTGAGGCCAGGCACAACACAGCACCAGGCCTTTCCCTAAGTACTTCTGACTCAAATATCCCAGTTTATAGTAGAGAAAAAACAGAAGCCACCAAGCTCTAACTAGATGGGCTGTCGCTTCCTGCTCCTGGCAGCTGCTCACAGTGGGCAGTGTTGCTCCCACCTCCTGAGTGTGAGGAGCTCCGGGCCTACCTCCGCATGCCTGCTGCTGCCTGGCCTGAGGGCATGGCCAGCAGGTGACAGACCTGAGCACCCAAGTGGCAAGCGTGAGGGTGGGCGGGAAGTGTCTCAGGTGAAAAGATAACGTCACCCTGTGGGGCTTGTGAGCAGCCTGGAGCAGGGTGCCAAGCGGCTGGGCTCATCCCCTCCAGACGGTACACCTTGGCTTGGCCAAGGGTTTTTTGGGGGTGCCTTCTCAAGGACTAAGGGACCCTTTCAGGACTGAGGCAAAGCCATCTAGAAACTGGACACTAGGCCAACCAGAGGAAGGACCCAGCTGGCCACCAAGTGTGTCCAGGTGGAATGCCCAGGTGCCTGGGGGCAGGGTTAATGTAGGTGCAGTGCGCAGCTTGGACAACAGGTGGCAGTGTGAATTCCTCGCATGCTGTGTTACCTGAGAGCCAGGACAGCAGCGAGTTCCGCTTGCCAAGCGGACACCCGGCCTGGGTGGAAGGAACTGGAGCAAGAGAAGAGGAGGTCAGTGACCTTGCAGGGTCAGGAGGCAGGACACAGAGCCACAGGAATAGGACAGAGGCGGACCCGACAGGAGCCAGTCTGCTCTGGGCAGGGGTGGGAGGGCTCTGACAGGCGGGGTGCTCTAGGCAGACCAAGGAGCCCTGTGCAGAGGCAGAGCTGGCCCAGTGTGCTGAGAGCCATTTCCCCTCCCTCCTGGTCACTCCAAGTGGGAGCTGTGTGGCCTCCAGCAGCACTGGGAAGGGCTCACAGGCCTGCTGCCCTGCTCACTGCCCCAGCTGCTCGGCCAAGCTGAGCTGCAGAGGGCAGCCTGAGGCATGTGGGTGAGCCCACCTGCTCCAGAGCCCAGCTCAGGAGCCCCCTGTCTCTCACCCCCAGGAGCCTGCAGTGCCCTGGCTCATCCCGGTGGGGGGCAGAGGAAACGGGCTGAGCTGCGTGTTGGCAGTCATGGGTGCTCTGGCCCCCGCATAGGGTCCTGTATGTCTAAGGACAGTGACAGGCCAGCACAGAAGTTCTCCAGGAGCCTGCCTGTTCCAGCACCAACAGGGACTGCTCTCGGCCTGCAGGAGCCTCCATGGCAGGAGGGTGGAGGAGCAGGGTGAGATGCGGGCTTCACCTACAGCGCCAGGCACCCACCAGAGCCACTTGGCCTTCAGGCAGAAAAGTCTGAGTCACCCAGAATCAGAGAAGCTAAGGACACTAAAGAGGCTCTTCTCCAGATCGTAACTGTCTTTGAGGGGGTGCATCCCCTTTTCTCAGTCCTTAAATCCCTAAATCGCTGCCTGGGGGCAGCGGAGGGAGTGGTGCTGAGGTGTAAGATCAGCCAGCCTTGGGAGAGGGCCATGAGGATGCATCGGGAGCCCCCAGAGCTGCAGGTATTTGGCTCTGACAGGAAGTGGGAAGCAGTCAGTGGCCTTCGATGTGGGGAGCAAGATGAGATTAGAGTGGACTGGCACGGTGAGCTGGCCTGGGCCCCCACTGACCATCATAGCAGGGACAGAGTGGGAGGCAGGTTGAAGTGAGGACAGGGATGGGGAGTGGGTGTCCAGAGTTCCTGTCAGTCACCAGATCAGCTTGTTGTGAGGTGGGTGCTGGTGAGCTTGGTTTTTCAGGGGCTCAGCCTCTGCCTTTTGGTCAGGGTTGGTTCTGATGGAATAAAATCCCCCAGGATCCAAACCCTCTCATCTCTTCCCCGGGCCTCCAAGGGCGCACACCACTCTATTCCCCAGACTACCTCGTCTAGGCCCCAGAAGCCTCCCCCTCCCAAGTCATCTGCACTCGGTTCCCGTGAGCAGGAGGACAACCCAGCCCCAGCCCAGTAACTCACCAGAGGGGACCCAGGACAGGGCCATGGTCCCATAGTAGGAGAAGGCGCCCGTCTCAAACTTCATGTTCTCCTTGCCTGCCTCCACCTCCACCTTCCCCTGCAAGAACATGGGTCAGGGTTACAACCAGAGGGGAATGAGGACTGGGTGGGACAGAGGACAATGCGGGGGGCATGTGGAAGTCAAGGGCGGGCCGCGCATCCCCAGCATCTTGGCAGAGTGGTGTGGGCAGGCAGCCTGGGCCCAGGACGGCAGTGCTCACCTGCAGGATGAGGATAAAGTAATCGGCCGGCTTATTCCGGGTATACAGGTAGTGGCGGGCATAGTACTTGTTGTGCTCATCAAACTTGAGCTCCTGGATGACATCTGGGTACTTGAGCAACCGCAACAGAATCTTCTCTGATATCAGAGAGGGACTGAACTGGGGCACCTCTGTGGGAGAAGAGAGGAGACTTCACACGAGGCTTGGGGCGGGGCCACTGCTGCACTGCAGCGGCTACTTGGCCTGGGATGGCTCCACCCTGCTGAGCTCTTCCTTCAGGCCACACCTCCCAGGAAGGGTGTGCACCTGACTTCCCTGCTGAGACCCCAGACTGTCAGCCTGCCAGGCCTCCGAGTGTGGCTTCTGTACTAAGAGCCTGTGACTTTGGGCAAATGACTTAACCTGAGTCTCCGGTTCCTCATCTGTAAAATGGGGATAAAAACTTCACAGGGTGCTGCAGGTTAGTGGTCTAACACGCACAGACCACTCTCACATAATCCTGGCCTGTGGCCAGTGCTTAGGAAGAGCTCCTATGAAAACAAAGGAGAAGGACTCATGGCACCCTTAGCAAGTGAGGGCTAGGAAGGAAGGTGGACTGGGGGAGAGGGGATGCAGTAGGCAGGTTTTTTCTAAACTGTCACCTGGGTCCCCAAGGGAGCTTTGAATCAGGGGTCAGAAGAGAGAAATGTCACTGATCTAGAGATAATTCCTGTGGGAACCAGTACACACAGAGGCGAGGGCAGGGAAGAGGGCAAGAGAGCTAGAGCAGGCTTCTCAGTGCAGATAAGCAGGGCCAGGGGTGTGGGCTGCACCCAGAGGAGCCACTGCCAGTGCAAGGGTCCCTTTTCCTTACCTCTCCACAAGCCTCAGTGGGCTGGGGGCACCCAGGTGAGCGCCTAAGGAGTTCCTCTCTCACCACTTATTTTCAAAACTCCCCCAGGCCTTCTGTAGAAGTTTGCAGTAGCAGCCCAGGGACAGCAAGCAGACTGCAGGAGAGTCCCAGGGATGGCCCTCCCAAAGCAGCTGTGTTGACCCTGCACCCACCACAGCCCACTTCCAGTAACTAACTCCACCAACAAAGGAAGGGCCTCCTGCTCCTACCTGTGGCCAGGAAGCGATGGGCAGCCAGAAGCAGCTGAGGAGAGATCTTGACTTTGAGTTCATTGTCAGCATCCTTGAAGGCGGAGAAATCACGCTTGTTCTTTGCAGACACCCGTTTCCGGCTTCGGTTGTCAGCTGCAAGGGAAAGATCTAGAACTGAAGTTGCTATCCCTTGAGGACCTGGAAAAGACTGGAGCCAGACCCCAGCTCCCACTCCCTCTGGCCAGAAGGAGCCAAGGTGGCCTCCTCCGTGTGCTCAGCAGGCGCTCCCAGCTCACCCCACCAGCAGGGAGCCTGGTGACCGGGGCCACCCTGTACCCGCACTCCGCCTTCCCCAGGGGCATGATTCCAGACTCAAGCAGTGAAGGGCCTCTGGGCCTGTGGAGAGTGCTGGACTCACTGTACGTGTCCGACTCGTCCAGGATCTCGGACTTGATGATCTCCTCGATGACATCCTCCAGGGTGACCAGGCCCAGCACCTCATAGAAGGGGTCGCCCTCACCCTCGTTGTTCACCTTCTGCACGATGGCCAGGTGGGACTTCCCTGTGGGGACAATGCACTGAGTCAGACCAGCACAGGGACCAGGCATGAGACTTCCCCAACAAAAATGTCAACACTCAGGGCCGTGAGTCACTGGGGAGGCGTCATCGGTGGCCCCCTCCTTTTCTGTATTTCCTGATTTTTCTGTTGCAGACACTCTGCTTTCATGAAAAGGGAGCCCCAAAGTGTCCTAAAGGCCTTGCACTAAGGATCATGTGTTGACAGGGGCTGAAAGTGACAAGGCTGCTTGGGGCCATTTCCCAGAGCTCCTGGGTCTCCAGAGGGGACAGACCCACACTGGGAGAGTACAGGGAGACAGTGGAGGCATGTGTGCCAGCTGCACAGATGGTCTGATGCTGCCCACGCCCCAGGGCCTTGGAGGCCCACTGCTGTTCGCCCTGCATGGACACAGGGTGTTAAACTGTCCCACACCAAGACGCTCCTCTGGCTCCTCAGCAGGTGAGCCAGCAGGAGCCCGAGGCCTTCCCTTCCACCAGGAGCAAGGGAGCTGGGAGGAAGGTGGGGTAGCTCTATGGAGGCTCTGGAGGTGTCAGGGATTCCTGGGCTCTTCTGGAGCATCTGTCCTGCTCTGGGTCCCCAGACCCAGCAAGTGACGATAGGGGAACACCAAGAAGGGCTTGGCCCAACTCTAGACATGGAAGTGTTTTGATAGCCTCCAGGGAAAGCCCTAGGGACCTGTGAACTCGGGTCCCTGCATGCCGCAGGGGAATGCTCCTTCTAGAAGTTGTCCCCACACATGACCATCACTAAGATATGCACGGAGGTTTCAGTACCATGCTGGACAGAACCATCAGGACTGGACGCATCATGAAGTCCCTGGTGTCTTTCCAGAGATAAGCCAACAAGCACAAGAGTGCAGGGCCATACTCTGGCATCCGTCACCTGGGTCTTTGCACCGGCTGGAGGCAGGACACTGGAGTGTCCCCTAGGGAGGGCGCCTGGGCAGCCAGATGAACTACGTCTCCAGATGGAAACGAATTAAAGAAGATAGCTTTAGCACCTTCTAGGATGGCAGTCCCCAAAAAGCTTATTAGTCATGCCAGTGATGGGGGCGGGGTACAACAGGCCCTCACCCACTCCAGCTAGGGGACAGGAGTGCACAGAGGCTAACAGGGCAGCACGCCTCAAAATTAAGGGTCTCTCCCTTGGATTTTGGAATCCCCCTTTTAGGAATTTGTCCCACAGAGATATGACTATCACAAAAGCACAAGGACACCAAAGGGGGCTCATGGCAACCCCTCTCCAAAACCAAAACCTCCTAAATAGAAAGCCACGTGGCCCATCCTGGCAGGGGCCCTGCTTTAGGGAATGTGGGGGAGCTGGATGGAAGAAATCCTGGGGTGCCCCCAGAGGACAAGTCTCGGGACACAGCGCCATCCAGCTGCACAGGAACAAAGGAGCTAGAGGGCTTAAGCGGGACCAGAGACACCTGGGGGCAGTGACAGGGTGCCCTCGGGAGGACCTCTGTGGGTAGAGCCCTGTTACCCCTTTCTCTGTACCTTTCTGTACTTTTTTTTCTTTTGGTGGTATCAAGGACGTAACCCAGAGGGACTTTACCACTGGGCCACATCCCCAGTCCTTTTAATTTTTTCTATTTTGAGTCAGGGTCTCCCTAAATTGTTTAGGGCCTCACTAAGTTGGCCAGGCAGGCTTTGAACTCGAAATCCTCCTGCCTCAGCCGCCACAGCTGCTGGGATTACAGGGGTGCGCCACCACGCCCAGCAACATGCTTCACTTTTATCTTTGGAAAAAATCCAACCAGAGCGGGGCACAGCTCAATGGAGAGCATGTGCTAGCAATCTAGTGGCCCTGGGCTCATCCCCAGCACCACACACACACACACACACACACACACACACACACAGACAAAAAAAAAAAAACTTAAGGGACAAAGAGAAAGTGCTGCCATCTTTAGGGTGGATAAGGACCCTCTGGGCCTCCGGCTGCCACAGTGTTGGCCCCTTGGGAATGGGGTACGGCTTTCTGACAACGATCAGGGGACAGCACTTTGCAGTCAGGAATAGCGGGAACAGGCTCTTCCTCCCTGAAACACAGAGTTGCCCTCCAGGCACCAAGTCTCACCAACACACAGTCACTTGCACCGAGCCCCAGGGGAAGGCCGGCAGCTTCCCTAAAGGACATAAATGCCCACTGGGGTAGAAGGAGCTAACTCCAGGCACAGCCAGCCGCACCAGCCCTCTTGCCTTCTCTGGGCCCTTCCTGGGTTTTGGATCTGCCGCTATGCGCAGGCCCCTGCTGGTGGCCACCACACGTGTAACAGGTACCTCCTAAGTATGCACCCTGGGCACCAGGCACAGTTTGGCCCTGCTCTGTGCTCGGCGCTTCCGGCACTGGTGCTACTGGTAGCTGGTCAGCTGGGCCCCTCGCAAGGGTTCCTGGCTAAGAGGCCAGTTTGTCAGTCTCTCCTGGGCCAGCCGGAGGCCCCCCGCTGGTTGTCTTTTCTAATTTGTCTACCCAGAGGGGACATCTTTTTGTCCTGGAAGAACCTTCCTCTTCCTTGGCCAGAGAACCTCCTGTCAAGGTCACCGATCACCTCCAATGGCTCTGTCTCCTTCTCAGGTGACCTCCCACCTCTTATAAACCTCCCCACCCACTTGGCAACCAGGACACATGGCTCCTGAGCGGCTCCTTCTCCCTGATCCCTTACTGCCGAAGGGTCCTGGGGCTCAGACCTCGCACCTCGTTCTTGCCTCATGATTTAAATACAAGCTTATGTCAAGACACCCCATAAGTCTGCACAGGCCTGCGCCTCCTGTGTCCCCAGACTCCTCATTGCAACTGGGGACTGAGCCTCGAACCTAACATCACCAGGAGAAAGCTCAGGGACACCCAGGCCCCGACCCCTAAGTTCTTCAGCCAGTGAAGGACGACAAAGGGGTGCAGACTGGAGACAGAAATACCCTGGATTTCAGCAATTTAGAAGTGTCTCTGCTTCAGAAACCACTGCTGACTTAGCAGTTAAACTACAGGGCGGCAAGGGGCGCAGTGCAGAGCGCTCACGGGCATGTCCAGCCCTGGCACCGCCCCCTCCCCATGGTTGGTTGGTTTTTTTAAGTAAATCAACTTAGACCTTGAATTTATGATTGTCATTTATAGACTCTTACACAAAATTTTATTTCATTGAGCTCCCTCATTTTACTAGGCTGTCCATTCCACTGGATTACAGGATTTTGGGGGTGGCTGGGGTGACCAATGGAGCATGGAAATCTAAATAACACTTCTGGAGCCAAAAATTCCACTTTTTTTTTTTTTTTCAAAGTAGTCCTTATTCAAGGAAGAAACTAAGGAAATATAGCAAAAATCATAGTTATCTGGCTGAACCATATGAAATTGTTGACTTTTGGGGGGCATGGGGGGTTCTGGGGATTGACCTCAGGGGCCCTTAACCACTGAGCCACATCCCCAGCCCTATCTTGTATTTTATTTAGAGACAGGGTCTCACTGAGTTGCTTAGTACCTCACTTTTGCTAAGGCTGGCCTTGAACTCATGATCCTCCTGAGCCACTGGGATTACAGGTATGCACCACCACACTGGGCAATTGTTGACATTTTGATTTTTTTTTTTTAACCAAAAACAGTGATTTCCCATGGCATAATCTAACCATCCGAGGAACCAAGGATGGCTATTTTCTTTTTTTATATTTTCCTATATAGAAATTCCAAACTTTCCATAATCAAGTACACGAATTTTGTAATCAGAAAGAAACCCTACATTACAAGCAACTTTCAAAACCACTCTAATGCTGCTTCCCTGGGCCTTCGGCTTCCTGCCCTTCCTACATGCAAAACTGCTCCAGAGGGGAGCCTGGGTGAGCGGGACCCAGAAGAGGCACCTGGAGCCCTGGCTGCCCAACGTCGCCTCCAGGCCTCGCCTGGCATACTCGCCCACTCCACCCTCTGCTGTCCTTTGTCCTTTGCCAAGTAGGACTGTTCCCTCCCTAGTCCAAGAGCTACAGGTGAAGCCTCCAGAAACCTGCCGGCCAGCAGCCTCTTCCCACAGGGTCAGGTCACGAATCAGGGCAAGGAGTGACTGGCTGCCCTGAGTCCCCAGCAGCCCCTCCTGCTCCTGCCTTCCCATGTCACCTCCTCATCCTCCTGCCTGGGCGCACACATTGCCCTGAGTGCCCCTGCCAGCCCTCACTGCCCGCCCTGACCCCATGGCCTCCTCACAGAGCACTTGTGCCTCAGGCTAACGGGGGTCCAGGTGCTCCCCACCCTCGCTGGAGACAGAAAGGAAGGCTCCGGGCCCAGAAAGCCCAGCCCCCCACCCTGTGTGATGCTTATTTTAGCCAACTCCATGTCCTCCTCCCTCCCATAAAATGTTTTTTACAGTTCCTCAAAGACCATGTGCTGGGTTTCAAAGTCCACAAGGGCCCCACAGGGGTTTCCACTCACCAGCTCCAGCTGCCTTTCCCATGGGGAACAACAGGGTCCAGATAGGACAAGGGTCCTAGCACCTGAGAGGGTGTCCTCCGTGGCTTCCTAGCTGGGTCTCCCAGCAAGTTCCAGTACCAGGTTCCCAGGACAGGCCCTGGGCTCCCAGGTCCCCCCATGGGAGGGCCATGGTCGGCATCTACAGATGGCGGGGCACTCTGGTTTCCTGGCCTTCACCCAGACCTGGCAGGATTAAGCTGGCTATTATTAGTGCTGACCTCAACCTGCAGGGGGGCAGCAGCCCATCCCAGCAACAACCAGGGTAGGAAAGGAGCCAGCCCGAGTGAGACAAGCCCCCTGGCTTCCGGCCTTGGGTAGGTTCGCCCAAACGCCTGGCAGAGCTCGTCCCTCTGGCTCCCTCTCTCCCAGGGAGGCAGCTGCTGGTCAGGACAGTCAGACTAGGCCAAGGCCTGGAGCCCAGGAGGCTGCAGCAGCCTGGCAGGCAAGCAATACCCACGAGCTCCAGAGAAGAAGAGGCGCAAAGGCACGGCAGGCGGCCCAGACTGTCACAGACTCCCAAGGCCTGG